TTATTATTATTATTATTATTATTATTATTATTATTATTATTATTATTATTATTATTATTATTATTGGAGGGAGTGGATTTCCCCATGCCCGCGACTAATAGTCTATTGTACGTCCCCCTTTGATATTCTACCAGTCGCCATACCCTGCCGGTACTGGTGCTCGCTATCAGCCCCGTTCAGCCAACGAGGTTGGCAGTGGTACCCGAATACTTCCCCATCTACTGGAGGCATTGGAAACTACTTGGGTGGGAAACTTTGCCTAATTTTTTCTCAGAGATCTCCTAAAGACGTGAGAATCTTTTACATGCCGTAAATCTACGACACGGGACCCACGGCTTAAAGTCCCTCCCGGAGGACTTGTTCCCTCAATTTTTCCGCCCTTAAAAATTCCACGACCTCCACTGGGTTTGAACCCGCATACCTTGAGTCATAAGGTGGGATCGTTACCCTTAGACTACGGAGGCCGCTTCGTCTTGAGCATAATATTGTAACGTGTCTGGAATCCAGAAGTCACTTCTATGGAAACGCTAGAACAGACCGTTGCATAAGAAGTAACAATAGCGATACTGTAATTCCAACAGTGAGCTGTTGTATCGAGAACATCGAATCTCCACGGTAACGACAAACAAAGCAACGTCTCCATGGTTATAACAGAAGGTTCATTTGCCTAGCAGCGGCGAGGGTATAAATAGGCCAGCTTTGATGAGAAGCCTGAGTCTCGGAATAGTGTTCGGAGAAGAAAGACCTGATCGAGCCATCTTGGAAGTCAGTTTGGAATATCCGTCTGGGTCCAGCATCGCCGGAATATTGTGAGCAGTGATTGTAACACTGCAGGTACAAATGATTGTAAAACGTGTGGAATGCAAGCGAACAGAATAAACTCGCTATATCAAACCACAGCGTCAACTTATTTGTAGCGACACACAAACACGCTACATTGGTGTCAGAAGTGGGATCGAAGTTACACACGTGGCCAATAAGTTTTGAACTCAAGACTACTACACAATGGATTCACAGCAGATGATGGAACTCTTGCTGAAGAAAATCAGCGCTGGCCAAGAAAAAACA